CAGCCAGAGGCATTTCAGAATAAAGTTCTGTTGGTCTACTTCCAAAAAAACCATCGGTTTCAAAACCGTATAGAGCACAGTTGTACTCTGGCCCACAGGGATAGAGCATGAGTCGGAACCAGCATCCCAGTCGGTACCATGTAAGGGGATATGAGAGTGAACAAGAGCTAGAGAGTCCTTGGCTGTCTTGGAGATTACGTTTTATAGGACGACAGACAATAAACAAATAGTGTTAGGCAACTCTTAAGTGCTGCAGAGATTAAATGTGGGTAGGGTGTGATTAGCTTGCGATTTCACACAGCGCAGGCGTGGAAGATGATGCAACTAGAAATGCTATTGTTTCTAAGGGAAAAGCTGTGGCCATCTGATGTCATGACCCATGGCTGGGCCTTTCGTCAGTGCAGATGCAGAAATGTATAATCATTTTCAATCCCTTAGCCTTTCTTCGACTCCCTTTGGGAAAGGTAATTGGACTCCAAGAATTCCAAGACCCCTTCCAAGGCGGGAATTGATGACAAGAGACATTCTGCAGATCAGCAGAAGTTGTTATCAGAAATGCTGTGAACCTCAGAGAGTCCTCAGAGTCTTAGATCCAAAATTAGAATTCTCATGACAACATCTCCACAAAGGTGTGCCGACAAGCCCCACTGTGGCCGGCTGTGTATGTGCACGTGTGCGTAAGGATGTGTTTGAGGCTGTTCCTGAGGACTGGTTCATTTCTCACCCCCAACCTTAGCCGATGAGGTCATGGGAAGAGAAATCGTAGCAAGGATGAGAACACAGAGCAGACCGGGGACACTCTACAGGGGTCTTGTCTTTGTTTTGTTTTCTGTGCATTCATGACCTTTTCCTCTCTTTATCATGTGGTGTCTCCTTCTCCCATGGACACTGATATCAAAATGTGGGCAAAATTTCCTCCAGTAATGGGTCCTTCTGAGAGCAAGTGTTTCTCTCATCTAGAATCAAGTTTCTTGGTGTTTATCGCCTGGATAAGGTGTTTCACATCAGTATACAAGGGACAATGCAACCCTGTACATCATTGCGGTCCAAGGTACCAGTTCCCATTGAACCACTTTCGACTCATGGGACCCTATGTGTGTCGGAGTAGAACTGTACTCAATGGGGATTTAATGGCTGGTTTTTCAGAAGTATCTCACGAGACTGTTCTTACAAGGAGTCTCTAGGTGAGCTTCTGAATAGCAACTGACATTGCTGATAATTTGCTCCACCCACAGACTTCAGGGCCAAAGTTGTTTTTAAGTGCCGTTGATTCAGTTCTGATTCATAGCAACCCTGGATAGAGTTTCTAAGAAGTGGCTGGTGAGTGTATACTGCCGACCTTCCCGTTCAATCTGACCTTGAGTTCAAGTGCATATCCTACCATGCCACAGCAGACCTCCTCAGGGTCAAAGTACAGACGCCCGAAGCAGCTTTTTATGCTTTATGCACACTCCCCATACATCCAAGCCTCATTCTGGGTTTCTTATGCCCTTATACTTGTAGAAATTCCCTTACCCAGTCCCAGGCACATAGTAGTTCCACAAACGAGCAGAGATTAGATTCCACTTGAGTTTAGCGGTCACATGACAAAATCTCTTTCAAGGACCTCCTCTCTTTCATTCCCCCAAATGGGAAGTCATTTGCTAATTCATTCATTTACCAATATATTTATGATGTGTTTCCTTTACGTCAATTTTCTTAGACCCTCAGAAAATATCTGTGAACTGGATAAAGATCCTGCTTTCACACCGGGAACAGCAGTTGGGGCCAAAAGCCAGTGTTTTCTTGGCCATCCCAATGATAAGGGAAATGGTGGTAATGCATGCTAGGAATTCTGTAGGGAAGAGGATATCTAGTTCCCTGGAATGAGCTCCACTGTACAGCGTAAAGAACCATCAAATAACACATAGTCCTTGTGTATCACTGTAGGATAAGCACTGGACTGCTAACCACAAGGTTGGCAGTTCAAACCTACCAGCCATTCCAAGGAAACCCTATATAGAGTCACTGTGAGTCCGAACAGCTTTACAAAGCTGTCCTGTGCATATCAGCTTTGGGCTGTGTGTGGACTGGTCTCTTAGAATGGCCTTCAGTAGCCCAGGCTTACTGCTCTTTCCATCCTAAGTGGAGTGGACTTCCCCCTTGCCCTGAATCTGAGCGGGGCCCATGACTGCTGTGAACACTAGAATGTAGAGGAAATGATCTTCTGGGAATTCTAGGCCCTGCATGAGTAAGACTTGACAGTTTCCACTTCATCCCTCTTACAGTACTGTTTTGGGAGCCCTGAACCTTCATGTAAGGATTCTGCTACATGTTGGAGAGCCTCTATGAACCAAAGATGCTCAGAGACTACATCCTAACTGAGTTTCCAAATGACACCAGTCCTGCTGCCATCTGACTGCAGTGGCAAGAAAGATTGCCACCATCGCCACCACCACCACCACCACTGTCACACACACAACACCAGCCAATCCCCAGAACCATGAGGTAATAAAATGACAAAGTAATTATTGCTGTAAGACTTCGCATTTAGGAGCAGCAGCAGCTAACCCAAAGAGGGTGTGAACTTCATTTTCCCACTGCATGAGCTGCTAAGATGGAATTGGGTTGTTGAAGTATTCTGAAAACAAAAAAACAAAAATGGTGCCAATGCTTTGTGCTAGATGCCAGCTGGCATCAGAAACCAACCACGGAGCCACCTGGTGAGGGGAGGACTCAAAGATTGCCCCATGCAAGACATGAAACACTTTGATGGTGGCTGAAGTCAAAACTAGTCCCAGGAAGGCCTGTCTAAGAAGGCTGAACATCCTAGTCTGGTTTGAGGGGCACTCAGGAAGAGTTGCTGGACGGTGCAGAATGAATACTTCCGGTTGATGTGGGTGGGAATGAAGGATACACTCCTAGACACAATAATTGTACCAGAAATCATTAGACCCAAACAGATAACTAAAAATAGTAGCGCGTTCTTTGCTGAGCCGAGTGGTTACAAGGGCATTTGGCTCTTGGCCTGGGACTTGCTTAGTTTCCCCCGGGTTTTCATGTTTTTCCTCTTGCCAGTGTTAGATTCTCTGAGTGCAAAAAGTATGCATTCTTTTGCTTCCTCTAAAGCCAAGTAGATTCATTCCTGTCTTGGTGGAGTCCTAAGGTTTCAAGGGTTTTACAAGGTCTGTTTAATGTGGCGATGCTGTGAATATGTTTCATTTTCAAGAGAAAAGAGAACTGTTGAATATCACATACCCATAGCTTTAGAAACTTTTTCATGTACATCATGAAACTTGAAGTAAATGGCTGTCACTTACATTCACAGAGGAGGAAAGCAGGTTTTGAAAAGTCCTGAGTTCACCAAAGGTCACAGAAGTATTCAATGGGGAGGTGGGATTTGAACCCAGCTACTACTGATTTCCAAGATGGGTACTGCACAAAGGATATTGTACTTGGGGCCTTAATGAACCTTCCATTCTGCTATGTGCCGAAGATGCAGAGAAGGAGGTAGCCCTGGGAACTTTCCAAGAGGAGACACTGAGCTCTGCTTTAAAGAAGAAGTCAGCTTGGTGTGTGGGGAGGCTGGCTGAAGGTAGAGGGATCAGAAAGTGGAGTCTGCATGTTTGTGATGGATTTTGGAATGCATGAGGTGTGCGTTGTCTCGTATCTCCTCCAGTCTTACCTGATTTTGTTCTTGTCAGTCAGTGGTGGTGGTGGGTGGTGGAGTTGGTTCCAACTCAGAATGACCCTGTGTAGGATTTCTGAGGCTATAAATCTTTACGGGAGCAGAAAGCCTCATCCTTATCCCACAGAGAGACTGGGGGATTTGAACTGTTGCCCTTGCGCTTAGTAGCTCAGCTTGTAATCCACTACACAACCAGGGCTCCTTTTGGAAGTCAGAGGAAATAAAATCTCTCTTCTCTCCGCTCAACCTGTGTATGGGTGAGTGCTTCATTACTTTCATTCATACACACACAATACACTCTTATTCATATGTGAGCATGTGCATACATGCCTTCCTTGCTGTCATGTGAACACAGTATTGTAGGTAGCTGCCCTGGAGTGGTTGTACCCATACGTGCTGCCTTGTCCTGTGCCATCCCCGTGCTCGGCTACACATCAGACCTTTGTGATCCAGAAGGCTTTCTGGCCGACTTTGGGAAGTAGATCACTAGCCCATTCTTCGAATTCCAACTTAGTCTAGAAGTACGTCTGAAACCTGTTCAATATCAAGTGACAAGCAAACCTACACTGACAGGTGCATTGTGGCTGTGTTTGAGATACATTGAACAGGAGTTAAACCATTGAGTCCCCCCCCCGGCACCCCTGCCTCACCCCAATTTATGTATGTGTGTCTGTGTATATGTACACAGCTTATATGTTGCTGCTCTGTCCGGGTCCTGTTGATGAGGTCAGCACATCCATTGCCCACCTGCTATGACTGTTGCTCGCTAACTGCTCATGGGTGACGTCTGCTCATGGAGAGCTGATCCCATGTGAGGGCAGTCTTGTCACACCCTGAGGATAACCCGGAGGCTATCCTCTAGAGCGAGGACAACTCTACTGTAGTATTTTCTGGGTATGTTCGTTCTCCATTCAGGAGTCAGGCTGAACTAAGTACACATTTCTGCAACCCTTCTGAGACCCTCTTCCATCCTGATGTACCTATCCATCCATTCATTCATCCTTCCACATATGTATTCATCCATCCTTCTATCTATCCATCCATCCATCATACATACATGCATACATACATCTATCCTTCCATCTATCCATACACACATCTATCCCTCCATCCATCTATCCATCATAAGTACATGCATACATCTATCTATCCATCCATCTATCCATCCGTCATATGTACATACATCTATCCATCTATACTTATACACATCCATTCATCCATCTATACATACATACATATATATATAACATCTATACCAGCATTTACACATCCATCCATAAATGCATTATGTTGTTAGTTGCCGTGAAGTTGGCTCTGACTTGTAATGACCTACCTGCTGTATTGCAGAAGGAAACCCTGAGCAGTTCTGCACCATGTTCACGGGTCCTTGGCAGGTTGCATCCATTGTTGCACTGTCCTGTGAGTCTGTCTCACTGAGCGTTTCCCTCACTGTCGCTGATCTTCTGCTTTACCAAACATTATGCCCTTTGCCAGTGATTGGTCTTCCCTTCCTGATGCTGTGTGTGCAGTAAGCGAGCTGAAGTCTCACTGTTCTCATCTCTAAGGAGCATTCTGGTTGTATTACTTCTGTGGCTGTTCACCACTGGCCTGTCATTCACCATGTGTCAGTTTATCATACTGTAGTAACGTGTGTGTTAGTGTGATGGTGCTATGCCACCAATGCTTCAAATACCAGCAGGGTCACCTGTGATGGACAGCATTCAGAGTGACCTCCAGACTAAGACGGACTAAGAAAAAATTCTGGTGATAATACGACTGAAAATCAGTCTTTGAAAAGCTTATATACAGGGTAGTGGTGATGGTGATGTCGGCTGGGTGGGTGGGGGCTGCGGATGGGTGCGGCGATGCTGCAGCTGTGCCATGAACCACACGGCGAGGAGGTCTGGCTGGACGGGTGCAGGCACGCCGCTGAGCCAGACGCTGTGGCCTCTCAGTGTCCATGACCCTATGCGCCACACGTGTCCAAGAGTACTTGGTGTTCCAGGCTTGATCACTGGAACAATGAGAAGAAGAAGTGCCTGGTACTCATCACAGTCCAATCTCTGCACATCTGTAAATAGGACTTCATCCATCTCCAGGGCCCGCAGGTGGTCAGAGTCATTCTGAATGCCGTGGCCACCATCTCCTACAGAGAGTTCCAGTTCCCTCCAGAGTCCCTGAATAAGTGAGTCTGCCCAAACTGTCCAGAGCCACTGAACTTGGCTGGAGATGACCTTGCAATATACTCCTGTAACTATCCTCCCATTTCCCCTTACAAAGTCAGACCTCAGTGGTTTTGCTGCCACTCCATTATATGGAATTATGGAGAAAGAAAGTGCTGCAGCTTCACAGATCACTGGAGGATTTCTTAGAGCAGAAGCCTGTGATTTCTGGGCAGCTGATGGACGAAAGGCCTATAGCAAAAGTGGCTGATCTGAATTCAAGGAACAGTTACGTAGAACCCTACATGTTAAAAGCCACCTTGTATAGTCTTCATTTGTATAGTTTGCATTAGAGTTGTGTTGGTGAAGAATGTTAAAAGTAGCATGGATTTCTAGAAGAACAAACACATTTGTGTCAGAAGAAGTCCAACCAGAATTCTTGGAAGCCAAGATGGCCAAACTTTGTCTCTCAAACAACTGACATATTATCAGGAGGGACCAGTCCCTGGAAAAAGACATCATGATTATTAAAGTGGAGGGTCAATGAAAAAGAGGAAGACCCCCAACGAGATGGATTGGCACTGTGATAGCAGCAATGGCCTTAAGCATAAGAAGTGTGAAGATAGTGTAGCACTGGGCCCTGTTTCTTTCTGCTGTGCGTAAGGTCGCTATGCGTCAGAGTAGACTTGAAGACACCTACCAGCAAGTATTCAGCTGAAGGCCAAAACCGGCATTTTCTCTGTGGAGGAATGGTGTTACATCAACCTTATCAGTTCCTGATGTGGCTCAAGAAACAAGGAGAGACCCAAAATGGGGGGCTACAAAGGCAAGAAGTGACTGGCTTACAAGCTTTCAAGAGGGAGCCTACATCTAGAGGGCACGGAGGAAGGTAGAATCTTCACTGAGTGGTATGCAATCTGTCTGGGCGGGGCTGATGAAAGGAGATGGGGATACAGCACTCATGTGGTACAATAGTGAATCATTACTATCAGGACTGACTGTGAGGGTCGGAAATGTAAAGGTAGACATTCTGTAGCAAAAGGAGGGGAGTGGTTGACTTTGCAGTCCAGGAGCGGAGGCCCCTGGGACGATCAAGGGAGAAGAGCAGAGAGCGGGACCCTACCCAGAGAAACAGTGATGCCAGAGATGGAGGCAGAGACGATGACATGGAGAGATGGATCAGCTGGGAACTCTAGACCAAGAGAGGGAGAGGGACTGTGTGCTGACGACCAGGGGGCAGGCTTGCAGGGTCTACCCTTTGGTTGGTTGATGATGCATGGAGGGGAATATAACCATGGCAATGTAATAAAATACGATAGGATGAATGTAAAGCTAATGTTCTCCCATGTAAACTATCACATAATTCACAATAAAACATTTATATATATAAAAAAAAGAAAGAAAGAAACAGGGAGGGCACCACTTTCCTAGCTGTCTCTGAACACTAGATACATTTGACAGTTTATTGAACAGTTTTCCAGAAGTGATTCTCTACCTTCAAGGGATTGTTCTGAAATGTGAGAAGCCTACATGTGAATATGAGCAGCCCTGGTTGGCACTGTAGGGCGAGAAGGTTTTGGGCTTCGCAAACAGTGGGACAAACAGAGTTGCCCTTCTTTCATATACCGATGGAATCCTTGGTCTACCAACGTGCCCTGTGCCACCGTCACTGAGCACCCAATGGCTGATGCAGATGAGAAGATGGTGTCTCTGTGCCAGCTAGGAAGCTTCACGGCTCTGTTGATCCAGGCTGTCAAAAAAGCCCAGAAAGAGAGTCCTCTGCCAGGAAGTGCCAACGCTGTGCTGGTCCTTGAGTGCCCCCTCCTCACCGAGACCTACGTGGGACTGATGTCCTTCATCAACAACGAGGCCAAACTGGGCTACTCCATGACCAGAGGCAAGATAGGCTTCTAGGGACAGCTTCAGGGAGAGTCTGCCAGACATGGCTGCCAACCAGGACCTGAGAGCCCTCAAAATAATGAAGTGAAGGGTGCATGCTAGCTGCGTGTGGACCTGTGGTCACTGGAGCTACGATGGACAGAAACCAAGTGAATCTTGCTACCCCTGTACTGGCTAGGATTCCCTTTCCATGCTTCAGTTTTCCTTCAGTGTATCTATTTGGTTTCTAGGTTCTTGCCAACCCACCCATTCCTGCATGTTAATAAAGTCACAGTGGTTCCGGTACAATACCACGGCAGCTGCGTACACAGCTAGATCCAGGATGGTATTCAAGACCCTTGGTTCCCATTGAAAGGCAGGGACGGCCTGTTGTTGTCAATAAGTTTATTCATTGTTGTTAAGTGCCGTCGAGTCACTTCCAACCCATAGTGACCCTGTATAGTGTTTCCGAGGAGTGACTGGAGAGCTTGAATCGCCAACCTTGCAGTTCAAATGGCTTTGAAGTCTGGTGCAATAACCCACAGTGCCACACCAGGACTCCAAATAAGTTTAAACTTGGTGTCACATTTCTTATTTTGAAATTTACTCTTTTTTGACATTTTTCTTTTTTGAGCTAAATGCAAAAGAAACCGGCAGACTGGTAATTGATGTCTGCACCTGTCAGCTGCGGTGTGAAGAGTTGCTCTTTTGTAAACATTTGACTTCGGGTCCCACTTTTCCTAAAATTCATCTAAATGTGTTCAAGCAAAAAGGCTTAAAGAAAATCCATTTTAAGACTAAAGTTCTCAGTTTCTGATGCTCACCAGGTAGTCCTGCATAGTCGGTGGCGGTGTCCCATTCCAATTCAGAGGGAGCTGGCTTGTTTGCACTCAACAGAGGGGACCTGTGAGATGCTCAGGAAATGGGAAGGCACGCCTTGGTCCCCAGTTAGCATACTGACTTGGGGTTCTGTGTGTGTGTCTGGCTTTAAATGTGCTTGCATGCTGGGCAACTCTGGTGGTCTTCCCATGGTGTTGGACCAGGTCCTGAAGTACCCCACCCCCTGCACAGCTTGCGTGATGGAGCATTGTGGGAAACTCCACCCACTGCTGAAGCGGTGCCCTGTGGTGACCAGGCCAGTTCAACTGGTGGTGTAGCAAAGGTTCACGGGGCCTTTGCTTTGCATTGTCTCATAAAGACATTGACAACTGTAGGTTATTGTTTCTTTTATTAAAATAGAACAAAAACCAAAAGAAAAGCTTATATACACACACACATAAACTGATGCTTTCTTTTTCATATAATCAGTTATATGAAAGATTATATATGTATAAATTAGCCTAGGACGCTAAAATCAGCTGACCCAGTTCACAACAGCAAGTTAAAGTCAACATGAGCGCTTGTTATGTTCTACTGACTCGGTTCTGCTTTATTGCAACCTTGTATAGGATTTTCCAGAATGGCTGGTGGGCTTGAAGCGCCGACCTTGTGACTAGCGGTCCAGTGCTTATCTCCTAGCACCACACAGGGCTCAAACTAGCACTGTTATTCTCATTAAGTGCCATTGAATCGGTTCCGATTCCTAGCAACCTTGTCTAGGGTTTCCGAGGAGCTGCTGGTGAGTAGGAACTGCTGACCTTGAAGTCCACGGCTTATTCTCCAGCACCACACCAGGACTCAAACTAGTACTTTTGTTTTTGGTAAGTGCAGTCGGGTCAGTTCCAATTCATAGTGACCCTGTATAAGGTTTCCAAGGAGCAGGTGGTGGATTTGAACAACTGACCTTGTGGCTCAAAAACTCCTTTATTCTGAAGTCACATCCTGCCTTCTTTCCAAAGTAAGTTGGCTCTAGTATATTCTTGTAGCTTTTTAGTCTTTGGGATTTTAGGATTTATTGATCTTTGGGGGAACCTTTAGCTCACTGATCAGTGCTGCCAAATTTATTGTAAGTAGAGAAATCTCACTCCAGGAAGAAAAGTGAACATAGGGAACTTAACAGGAAGAGGGGTCAGAGTTGTAAAGAAAGCCCCGCTCTGTAGAGTAAAGTGAGAAATGTACCAGGGAAAAGATGGTATCTCCAAGGTCAAGCAGCTCCCAACCTGCAATGCATGGAAATCGTGGAATGGGGCTGTTGGAAATTTTACACATTCATAAATATTGATAGGCTGACAAAGAATTTTAATTTTGAGATGTCTGACTCTGATTATTTCTGAAACATAAACACCTTTTAATTCTTCCCTGAGGCCAAAGATCAAGCTTGGGCTGTCATCTTTTAGATAAGGCATCTGACTGCTAGATGTAATCCAGATTTGTACGCATTGCTGCCCAGGGAAAGCTAACCATTCAGCTGTCAAAGGAATGAGAA